CGCTGTGATGACGTCAGGTACGCGGTTTCGTCGAGCGCGCTTTAGTCGACCGTGGTTTTGTGATGGAACCCAATTAAAAACCATCCCGAGATTCAACGTGATCCAGTTCTTTGATCCCACTTTTGTTACATGCAATTTCTAGGCTTTCTGGCTCAAGATCCCAGTGACGGTTCCTTTTTTCCTTTTCCAGTTTCATTCCTTGTTCTTCGGAGCAGTTTCCCCTAACGAGCAAAGCGATGCCAGTTTGCTTCACAATTTGGCAGCGGTGAGCGACGCAGAAGAGGAGTGCGCCCACGGGCAGCTCTCCCCGACGTTTTAACCGCAGGACGTGCCGGTTTAAGGCAAGCAGTTCAGTTTGGCCTGCAGGAAAATGCCATATTTTTTTTTGCTTATTTTAGGTGTTTTGACTTAACCCGAATGGCTGTTGCTGCTTCCTATTTTACCAACCGTTGTTTTTATCTTCAACCTTGTCGTAACTTTGTTCAGAATCCTCGAGTTAGTTGGACGGGGGTTAAAAAAAATAAACCCCTTTTGGTTTAGATGTGTATAATCTTCAGCCGAGCTTCCTTCAATGTGGGGAAAAAAAACTTGTGAGAGCCATTTTGGAGGTTTTTTTTCCCCAAAAGTTAGCATATCACACAATTAACTTACGATTAACTACAATGAACTAACCAGAGTTAGTTAACTGAAAAAAAGGATCGTCGGATGTATCCTGCGTACCTCAGACATCAGATGCAAATGTTTTGGAAGTATGTTCAGTCGGTTGTTAAGATTGCTGTGGGCAACACAGGCAGTTACCCACAGCAACCTAACAAAAGGCAATTAATCACACACTCTTGCTGCTTCCTTCTTTAAGATCTCCTCCAGCGAAGGAGAATGTGGAGGGAGGCGGCTTTTGAAAGCAAAAGGAACAGAAAAAACGGAGGATCATTTCTCTAGCGGCGCTTGTTCAACTCCCCCAAACGTCTATAAAATGCTTTTTTTTTTAGAAAGATATATGTTCCTTTGCTCCTTCCACTGAATTTCTCATTGCACGCAAGATTTTTAAGATTTATAATTTTAGTGTCTCGCTGTTGCTAAGGTCGTGGCTTGCCGGGAATTACCGGCTGAAAATTACAACAAGCAGATCTTGTACGAAAGATTGATAAGATTCCTTTTGTGTTGTGCCTGTTTGAGCAATGGAAGGTGCTTGGAGGCATTTGCTGCGTGAAAGAAATGAAAAGGCAGGCATGATGCAAATGCTTGGCATAGCTCTAGAGGGGCCATTTTGAGGCCTGATGATTTAAATCTGTATTTTCCAACCGTGCCAACTTGAAGATGTGTTGGACTTCGAATCCCAGAATTCCCCAGCCAGGCTGGCTGGGGAATTCTGGGAGTCGAAGTCCAACACATCTTCAAGTTGCCAAGGTTGGAAAGCACTGATGAAAACAGGAGAGGGAAAAAAAGACAAAATCGCAACAGAGCACAGGGTTTTCTTGACGGTCCCTATTCAAGGAAGGCCCCCGCATGTTGTATAAATACTATATTTATTAAATATCTTTACAGTTCATTTAAATGTATTTACAGATACTATTCTCGCACGAATTATACTCCAGACATTCAATTCACATAATTTAAATTTCCTTTTTTTGTTTTGAAGGTAAGTTACAGGTCACAATAGTCTCGTTTTAACAAGGAAAAAAGAAACCGGCATCCTAATTAGATCGGCTATCCTCGTCAGGAGAAGGAAATTAAAATAAAATTTAAAAAATGAAATTAAAAAAAAAAACCCACCCTAGGTCTGGATCGAGTCAGGTCTACCGCAGGAAAAAGCCCGTTCCCGTGACTTATCTCTGCTTCCACCATGGACGGATTTTTTTAAAATCCCCCTTTTCCCCTTTCGGATTTCAAATTGCTTTATTTTACTATTCGACCTTTGCAAGAAGAGATCGGATGGTGAAACCAAGCAGGATCCGGAGGGGCTTCTAAGAGAGCAGGAGAGAACTTTCTACAGGGGAGGGGGGGAACCAGGAGGCTGCCAAGCCCACCCACTCGCCCTGCTTCAAGGAAGAGACGGGCAAAGGCGTTCAAGACCCCATCCCCAACTTTGGGGATGCGGCAGACTTAAGAGGGCAGAGGTGCCACAGAGAAGGGGAGGGCTGGGAAAACCTTCGCCCACCCCACCCTCGAGAAATCAGCGTTTGCTTCTCTCCCAGGCAGCTCTGGGTCCCACTGCAAGCCCCCTCCTCAATAAGAGCAGCAGAGCCCCCTCCTACACCTGAAAACCCAACGGCAGGCATTTTCAGAAGTCAGATCCTTGAGCTGCTCCAATGAATCGGGGGGAGAGGGGGGTTTCCTCACCCATGCCTCCCCCTCCCCAAAGCAGGCTGGGGTCCAGCTCTCCTCCGTCAAGGTACCCCCAATTTTAAGAGCAGAAAGGAAAAGGGAATGTGCCCATTCCTATCCCCGGATCATGACACCGAGCAGAAGCAGGCACGGCTTGGGAGGGTTGGCGCAAAGGCTCCCGTCCGTTCCTTTATGGGTCTTTTTTTTCTTTTTTTGTAAAAAAATAAAATTCTTGTGCGCAGACAGCTTTTTAAGTTCCTAGGGAAGAAATCGGGGTCTGTTAGGATTAAAGGCTTATCTTTAAAATAGGGGAGGGGGTGGGGGGCCCAGGGGGGGCCTTGAGCATGCAATAGAATTTGTGTATAATACAGTATTGCTTTTAAAAACACAGATGGCCGGAAAAAGCTATAAACTCCACAAGGGTCTTTGGTGTTGTCCCAAGGGGGAGGGAAGGGGTGGGGGGGATGGATGCAAGTTTTAAAAAAAACTTCAATTTGATTATGGCTTTATAAAAAAATATAAAAACAAAAAATGGTCCTAAGGAACAAATGGCTTCACAGATACGGCGAAGAGTAGAAATTGCTTTAAAATGAAACAACGCCAAGGATAAAGCCGCCAAGGCTTACGAATCCCATCGCTGCTTCTAAAAGCCGTGTTTGCTCAACCACCTTGGCGGCTTTTAAGACGGGTGAACTTCAACTCCCAGAATTCCCCCCGCAGCTGGCAGGGCAATTTGGGGGGGGGGGGGGCGAAGTCCACCGGCCTTAAAAGCCGGCAAAGGTTCCGCCACGGCGTTTTAAAGCACCTTCCCCTCCATCGTCAGCCGACCNAGCGCTGGCTCTTCGGCTTTGAAACGGAGATGAGCACTGCCACCTAGAGTCGGGAACGACTAGCACAGATGTGCAAGGGGAACCTTTATCTTTAACTTAGGAGTGATACAGTTAATAGAGACACATCATTTTATCCTGTCCACAGCTTTTCCTGAGGACGGTAAATAGTTCCAGATCTGCCTATGGCTGTGTCTTCTTTTCATCCACGTTCTTCCAAAATTATTCCTATGGAAATGCCACTGAATGGAGCCCGAATGGGGAGACTGTTCAATTCGCATGTAAATTAATAATCAAAGTAAGTTTCAACCAATTGAACCGAAATCTGCTTCATTGCTACAAAAATACAGTTCTATTTAGTGAAATGCGTAGAGAAGTGATGTATGATCAAATGCATACTTTACCTCCAATATACCTTTGGTCTGTGTGTATTTTTCTTTGGGGTGGGGGGAGAATTTATTGCAGCTGGTAAAACTTGAGGAAAAAGGGGATATCATTTTCTAACATTAGTAATCAGGGTGGGGGGAATGAAATTCCAAAACTATACTAATTACTATGCCTAAGAAAAATAAGGCATAAGATGATTCATACAGTTGTGCTTAATACTTTTTGACTGCGAGAGGATTCTGCAGCCATTATTTTTCCCCGTGCAAATCTCTGCATTAATACGGTTTTTTTTCATTTCAGGCCATTCTGCCTTTGTTTCGATGCTTGCACACACACGAAAGAAATGTGGAAAAGTGCAACATTTACACAGACGTGAACGACTGCCATATTGTTTTTAAGCTATTCTGCAAACACGGTAAGCGCGTGATCTTGTCAGTCCTACATGACCTGGAAGGCAACGTTAAAAATGTTATCTGGTCAGGATTTTTAAAAAAACTCCTCCCTGCCTTGGTTGGAGATATTTTGACTGTGGAATTTTCCAAGGAAGTCCTCAAAAATTGAGTGCCCGGAGGGAGCATGTGAAATGAAATTGTTGCTGGATTTGAATCCTCTGAAAAGCTTTTGAGATAAAAAAATGGGGTCGCTTACAAAGATGGCTCTCTTGTAGTTTAAGTTCCTGGGATTAAATCAATAAATCAACATTTGTGACAGTGGCAGTTATTAAATATGCTACCGATGGATCAGGTGGCACTATATTTTTAATTAAGTCTGCATGCTGCAGAAGCCATTGTTAGGGGAGAAAAATATCCTAGCCCTTTCAAAAAATTTAAACTGTTGTATGTTGTCCACCAGAGAGCAAAAAAATTGGCCTCTTTTAATCAGCACAATGGAGCTGGGTAGTCAAATGTTATGAGAAGCAGATGATTGATTTTGCTATATGAAGAGGTGGTACATTTTTTGTGTGTTATTAAGAGTTCTTTTAAGTGAGTTTCTTGGGCAGCTGCTAAATTCAGCAATCTTCTGCCCCCATCACTTCTGGCTTTGGAGAAGATGGACTCATGCAGGGAAATTCTCAAGGCCATTCCCAAATCGTGCTTCTGGAGAATTATTTTCGTTTTGACCTTCCAAGTAGAGATGGTTTTCTCCTCAGCTTACAGGGCAGATAAGACATTGAGCACACTTCAGATAAAGGAGAATATTGCTGGTTTAGGGTTGAAAGGAAGGGACCTTGATGCTCTCTTGAGCTTTCTTGCAGACGTTTCATGACCCTGCTAGGTAACAACATCAGTGCTGGAAGGGAGTGGGGTTTGCGGAGAGGAAGAGGATGAGGAGAACAATGACTTTGGGGTCCTTGGTGCTCTGTGGACGGTTATTTTCTTGCAGACGTTCCATGAGCCAAACTAGGTAACGCCATCAGTGATAATATTAGTATACTTCCTATTTAACCATGCTGAAATTAAAAAAAAAATACTCTAGTCAATTCATTTCACATTGGTTTGGGGTAGCCTGCAGGGAGACTTGGATTTCAAACCATATCCTTTTCCCATCAGGTGTCGTGAAAACTCACAGCTTAGCTTTCCAGGAGTGTGAGCCTCTTCAAGCTGTGTTTGCAAAACATTTGTGTACCAATGTACTGAAAGTACACTCCAGGTAACATCAGAGGCACATCGGCAATTGGCTTGTTTTGTTGTGATTTGATCGTGTGCATCGAATGAAATGCGAACGGTTGTTGGGCCACCGACGGGATCTCGGCCTTATTAATTCAGAGAGAGAGAGAATTTTTTTTTTAATAGGAGCAGTCCAATTTGTAACCTGAATTAATCATCCAGGTTTTTGTACATTCCAGGCAGCTGTCTGACATGCTGATCCACTTTCCGACGTACCAAGAAGAAATAACATTAGGTGTAACGCCAATGAAAGTTTGCTTCAAGACTTATATAGAGGATGAGATGGGTGAGGATTGGGCTTCCGTGGTGGGATTAAAGATACAACTTTGAATTTGTAATATCCCTGAATGCAAGAGGTTACTGTAAGATATGTCCATATTATACTGTCAAATAATGTCTACTAAATATTCAAAAAGCACAGAACTGAAAAACCTTTTTTTTAAAAACCAATAGTGAAATATACTGTTAATATTCACTCTTTTATAAACAGTAGCCACAATGAAAGAAGCATTCAAAATTAATCTGATGGCGGTCAATTTTGCTGCAAATAGATTTAAGTTAGGAACCTGTCAAACATACATCCATTTATCCACCTAAATTCAGCATATTAATCGGATCTGTAGTTTAACTGTGGTGGTATTTTCTTTTCTGATATTTGGAATCATTTTGCATTGATTTTCAGATATATTTTGTGGCATGTAGTAGCTGAAGGCTCATCACCCGTTAACTATATTTGGGATGGAAATGGTCACCAGCCCCGTTCTGTACCCTAATCAAACTTTTATTAACCATTCTAAGAATTCTCAACAAACCTGTGTTTTTTTTAAAGTCTTTTTTTTTTTTAAAACCTCGCATCATTCTTTATTTCGACAGAATTTGCAAAGGCAACGCATACGGAAATCCATCTCAGTCCTGATGAATTTGAATATTTTCAAGTCGGGGTAGATTCGGAAGTCACATTTTGCCTTAAAGAACTACGGGTAACGGGGTTAATTCTACCGTTTTGATTGTAGCGTGCACTTCATAAATATCTGATAGAGCAGTGTTTCTCAACCTTGACAACTTGAAGTCCTGTGGACTTCAACTTCCAGAATCCCCCAGCCAGCATAGCTGGCTGGGGAATTCTGGGAGTTGAAGTCCACAGGACTTCAAGTTGCCAAGGTTGAGAAACACTGTGCTAGAGGCTCTCATTAGGAAAAGGAGGATAACGGAGCAAATGCTACTCGGATATTCTTTGGATGCTGTTCTTGTATCAAAGCTCAGCATCNCTCTCGAGAGACTCAGGGCGGCTTACAGATAAAGCAGGAAGGGGGAACATATGAAAATTAAATTAATTAGAAGTTGCCTTCAGAAGTTGTGGGGACTCCATCACTGGAGGCTTTTAAGAACAGCCACTTGCCTGGAATGGCATAGGGTCTCCTGCTTGAGCAGGGGGCTGGACTAGAAGACCTCCAAGGCCCCTTCCCACTCTGTCATTCTATAGGTGTGCAGCTGAAGACCTGGTGCTGCAAAACTGCAGGGGCAAAATTGAACAGTCCCTCTCCTAAGGACAGCACCGGGAAAAGGAAATTCAACCCCAAAAAAGGGATGAAAAACGTATCAACAGCCTCCCCTAAATTCTCTGGGAAGTGTCTTTTAAGAGCTTCAAAGCTGCCAAGAGACTGAGACAAACCTTTACACAAACAAAATCGTATGATACGGTGGCAGGTATAAAAATGTGCACCACGCGTAGATGCCTGCCCGATCCAAATTAGCACATGGATGTAACGACTTGTCTCCTTCTGCGCCCTTTTGCAAGCTTAACTCTAGCCAACGAGGCCTTCCGGAGCCCCCCGGAAGAATCCCCAGCCGTGCGGGGGAGTGTCGACTTCTGGCCACTGAGCCGCTCTTACCTCTTACATTCAGTCCATTGTCACACGCGAACTGTGCGAAGGGAGACATATAATTTGGGTCGTAGGCCAGCTGGTGCGCTTGCTCGGCAATGCTGCTCGCCGTCTGCTGGATGCTTTCGTAATTCGAGTTCTGGGTGGAAGGAGGGGGGAGAGAAAAACCGTGTGAGCGTTCAGAGGGCTGTTTCCCCGGCCACAAGCATGCAGTAGAACAGGCCCCGCTAACACAAAGGAGTTGGGTGTTCTCGCAAGGCGGATCCGCCTTGGGAGTCAAAAGGGCGAAATAAACCCAAGGGCAAATCCCGCTCTTTCTACGGTTGCAAATTGGAGTGGATCCGATTCTGGGGAAAAAAACAGATTATAAGCCATCCGTCTGCTTCGGGAATTATAGGGGATGCACAAGAGCAGATTAAGAGATAAAGCTTCATCTCGACTTTTACTCCCGGCTGAGAAAAGGGTCAGAAGGTCACAGACTCGCCAAGCAGAGGGCCAGGGAAATTTTGCCAAACCCACCACGATTTGCCCCCCCCCCCTCCCCCAAGTAGCCTCCTGCCATTTAACGGCAAGGCAACGGGGCAAGGGTTGGAGAAACTGTATCCGTCAGAGAGCCGAGGTGGCGCAGTGGTTAAATGCAGCACTGCAGGCTACTTCAGCTGACTGCAGTTCTGCAGTTCGGCGGTTCAAATCTCACCGGCNATTTCTAGCCCAAGGTACTTAGGCCCAGCTGGGTCAGCGCCAGGATGAGGGGAAGGGGCTTGAAATGGTTTGTACAACATTATAATGGGCCTAAGTGGGTTTGGTTTTTTTTTTTTTTTTGCAATTTTCATCCATCCACTGTACGCCACCCTGTATCCGTACCCCCCAAAACCGATCAGTTTCGTCAAGCTACGTTGTTAAGGCAATCTGGACGAAAGAAAAACGAAGGTGATTTCTAAAAGAAAACTTGGAAACGTCGGTCGGAACAGCTTCTAAAAAAATGAATTATTATTATTATTATTATTTTGCCCCCTTATCGTCACAACTGAAATGCCTGTTAGAAAGCAGGACGCATCGAAACGAACCCACATGTACACGGTACATGTTAAAATTATAAATAAAAGCCGGACACAATTATGCAAATGTATAGTTACAGCCACCAAAAAAAATAATTTTTAAAACAGGCTGAGGTAACCTCAAAACGTACAATTTTAACAGGAATAAACCTGGCAGTAAAAAAAAACAACACACACACACACACACACCCCTTTGTTGTGAGTTTTTCTTTTAAAGGAAAAAAAAAAAAAGGACGGTTGCTTTTACTCGCCAAGATTATCAACTAAACATCAACGTGACCCCAACTTGCTGTATAAAACATGGCTTTTTCGTTGCGAAGGACTTTTTGTTTTCTCCTACTGGCAATAAAACACCAACAACAACAAAATTTATGAAAAAACTGACCGAGAGTTTTATACATCCCTCTAGGCGTTATGTATAAATAAAAACAGCTTTAGAAAAATGGGGTAGGGGAACTTAATAGCTACTGAGAAATTGGACTGAGTTGTGTGTCGATGCAAAAGGGGGGAAAAAACCACAATATCGCCAATTAGCAACTAGAGTCCTGTAAACATGTATTTTCTCAGGGAATCCTGTGCGCAAACCTTTCACCGGTGCTCGGCCTCCCTCGACCTCTTTGAGATTTTTCTGCCCCCCAAAGCGTTAGGCGGTGATCGGGCAGAAAATATCCAGCTACCAAATGGGCCCCGTTCCACTGGTTGTTAACAGTTTAGCGCCTTTCACAAACACTCCCTTCACACATGCGCGCCACAATTCGAGACGAGTTGTGCGTTCCAAATTGAGCGACGAAGACCCCTGGCTAATACCGTGCGGACCGATTTTTTTTGCAACTTGGAAGATGGGCGGACTTCAACTCCCAGAATTCCCCAGCCAGCGCACCTTCAAGTCGCCCAGGTTCGAAACGTATAGGGAGAGAGAGAGACGAAAAGGCTGCACTTGGAAAGCCCGTGGAGAATTCGGCTACAAACATACGTTTTCCAACATGTTAAGCCAGGAGACGGGACCTACGGAGCTTCCAACGATGACAAATGGGCTTTCCCCCGCCCCCACCCCCCCAGCAATACCTGCTCAGGTTCCGTTTGCTGATTTGGAACAAACAAACAAGACCCCTTCCCCAGAATTAGTTTTTGAACTACGCCGAGCCAATTTGACGTCCTTGTTTGCTCGCCCTTTTCTTCAGAGCCATAAGTAAAGGTTATTCCCCCTTCAGCCCCCTCCCCTCCCCTCCCCGCTGCTTTCTACGCAATAACTCCCGAGTCAATTTTGAAAGACAGGCTTCAAGTATTGAAAAATTCTTCATTTCTTGCTTGGAGGTGTCCCCCAGGTGTCCTCCAGCTGAGGTTTTGGGCCGGGGGGGGGGGGTCTTGGCTGCATCTTAAAACAGGCAATGGACGTAAGGTGTGTTTAGCCACTGAGGTCAGATGCAGAGAGAGAGAGAGAGAGAGAGACTTCCTGCCCGCAGGAAAATAATACGTGTGAAGCGGAGAACATCTGGAGACAGAACCAGTCTTTAAAAGCTTGAGTGTCACAGCTGGTCAGTCTGTGTATTCAGCTACTATAGAGAGAAGAACAGTGATGTCATCAGGTTTCCCACCTAAAAAGCAAGACGTGGAGAAGTTTTTAAAGGCATTATAAAAAGAGACTCTGGAAAGAGGGCAGAGAAGAGCAACAAAGAGGATTAGGGGGCTGGAGGCTAAAATACATGAAGAACGGTTGCTGGAACTGGGAATGTCTGGTTTAATGAAAAGAAGGACTAGGGGGGGACATGATAGCGGTCTTCCACAATTCCAGGGGCTGACACAAAGAAGAGGGAGTCAAGCTATTCTCTAAGGCAGTGTTTCTCAACCTTAGCAACTTGAAGATGTCTGGACTTCAACACCCAGAATTCCCCAGCCAGCGAATGCTGGCTGGGGAATTCTGGGAGTTGAAGTCCGGACATCTTCAAGTTGCCAAGGTTGGGAAACACTGCTCTAAGGCACCTGAGCGCAGAACAAGAAGCAATGGATGGAAACCACTCAAGGTGAGAACCAACCAAGAACTAAGGATAAATTTCCTGACAGTGAGGACAAGTTTACGGTTTATTAGGATTTGTATGCCGTCCGCTCTCGAGAGACTCAGGGCGGCTTACAGATAAAGCAGGAAGGG